TTCTCTCTCTCCTCTGGGTGTGTGCATTGTACACACACACACACACAATACCATTCTCCAACCAAAAAATGGAGCAAAAAAGAGAACAGAATAAGAGCATCCACCTACATAACTGCAATGCAATTATCGCATTCAAGAAATTCAATTTTGATACAATAATGTTATCTAATTTGTAGCCCATATTCAAATTTCCTAAATATCCCCATCATAATATCCTTCACTGTTACTTCAGTTTTTGAACTCAGGAGCCAACAAAAGATCAAGCATTGCATTTGATCGTTTTATCTCTTTAGCCTGCTTTAAACTATAAAGTCCTCATCTTTCACCAGTTCATTTCTTGACTGGTTCATGACACACACCCTCTGAAACAGATCATACCATGTACTTGGCAAGAATTCTTAAAGTTTGAATTTATCTACTATTTCTTCTTGCTTAGATCAAGGGCATGTGGAACACTATGGCCAGTATGTTGTACATATGTGAAGAATTACAGCAAGATAAGGGTAAGGTTAGTTTGTCTTATTATACATATGTTTGATAGCTTTAGTTCAAGTGGAATCTGACAGATTTCTCACTTATGGCAGCTTTCTGCCTAGATGATTCTCATACATGTCTAAGTTTTAAGTCTTGCTATTCCAAACACAGTCCGCTGACCAGCAAATGGTGGGTTCTCCAGGGAACTTGTCCAAAATGCAACAAGACTCCTGACCTGAGAGGGGGCATTTTCAGTCCTCCTCTATTTTGTACAACCATGACATAGTGAAGTGAGTCCCATGAGTGGCTGAGGACACCTGTGTGAGCCCAGCTCCACCTCGTCAGGGGCTCCTGAGAAAATCACCTCACTTCCTAGAACCTCAGGTTCCCCTGTAAAGGAAGCATGCTTAATCTCATGGCCAGTGATGGCCCATGCTGTGAGTCCATTTCCTAGACAGTGAAATTCCATACACATGGGGTCACAGTCCCAGCATGGACCTCACTATCCCGACATCTGGAGGCTGCGATGTCAACCCCTTGCTTGGCTCATTCTTCTTGAGTGGCTTGACCATGATATGAAGAAGAGAGCCAGGAGGAAGACAGAGCATTCTGAAAAATGAAGACAAAGATAAAAGGAGTTTATGTCAAAGGGCAGGGACATGGATTGCACGAAGGATGCAAGAACATGGCAGATTAAATATGCTCAAGAGGAGAAGCAAAAGATACTTATTCACTTATTGTGTGCTCACAATGACGTGTCTAAGTATTTTCATATCCATAGGCATCCTGCATAAAACTCCCTTGCAAAGTTCACTAGCCAGACCCTTTAGATAAGATAGCTGTGGGATTAATGTGTCTCATCCTCTAGCATTGCTAGATATCCCTGGTGCCAGCCCACCTCAGCCAACAGTCAGTGGGTATTTCTTGCAATCGTTTCTCCTTGGTTTGTCAACCTCTATGGCTGCAAGAGAGATGGCTAGGGCAGCAGAATGTATTGTGACAAGCCAGCAACAGTGCCAAGATGAGGCCAGCAACTCTCCACTAATAAGAAGAGAGAGTCCCAGAGAGCCTCAGGACAGCCACAGAGCCAGATGGTGGTGACTTTTAAGGAGACCCTAATTCACAATCCACTAGTGATTATTGAGCATCTCATGCTGAGCTCATTGCATTCACATGTAATGTTTGCAATAAACCCAGAAACCACTCCTTGACACAATCTATCATTGCCAACTTCTAGGTCCCAACTCAGCTCCTGCAAAATCACAGAGACTTTGGTAAAGTCTGGATGTGAATTCCAGGTGCAGCACACTTGCATTACATCAGTACCTCTTTCACCAAAGGGTGAAAGAGCAGAACTGTAATTAGCCTCACCAGAGTTAATAATTCTGGTGGCTCCTACATAATTCCTTTCCCCACATCCCAACACTCCCAAGGACTGCTCTCCTCATTAAAGTCTTGTAATGCTGATTTTAGCTACTTACTATTGTGATAACGGCAGAGCTGTGGCAGCAAAATCTTGATTAACCAGGATCCTAAGAGAATCGTCTCAGGCCTTCATGCAGCAAATGCTTACTTAGTGCCTACTATGAGCTCCACAGACTGATGGTGTCTGAGAATGCTAAAAACACCACAGTCTTGCTCTCAAAAGCTCTCAGCTCAATGGGGCAGACAGGCAAACGCATCCATCCAAATGCAAAACTATACAGCCAGGCAGTTGCAGCACCGGGATAAGTCTGTTGCAGGCTGCAGTATCAGGGAAAGACTTCTTGGATGTGGTGACAGCAGAGCTGGGTGAAAGTGATGATGGACAGATAAGAGAAAGTAGAGGATCTGCCTTAATACAAAGGGAGCAGAGCAACATTTTGATTGATCTCCACATTTCCTGTATTCTATCTTTAGGAAAGAGAAAAAAATTCTTATCTCATAGGCCTGATTCATTTAAGAAAGAAAAAGTAGGCACTAGGCTGTGAGCCCACGGTCAGCCCAATTTCCTGGCCCCTCCAGCCATTAGCTCAGCCCTGAGCAGGATAATGGATGCTTTGAAGTATGAATTTCAATGCCTTGCAAAATCCTGAATCATCAATGCAAGTTTCAGTTCTGTTTATCTGATCGGACCTTCGCCTGAGCTGGAGAAAGGGCACATGATCCAGCTAAGCACTAAGTGGGCTTTGATATTAGAGTCTCAAACCTAAACCCGTGTGAGCTCTCCTGCATAACTTCGAATTTAGCAGAATCTACAATTCCAGGAGCCACCCATCTCATGTTTACGTGGTTCCTTAGCTTCTGACAAGCTCTGGCTTTGATTCAAAGACCCCTTCTCCTACTGTGCATTAAGAAAGGGGGATGGTCAGAAGTCTTCCTAGGGCCCTGTGTTACCAATGGGGAAGAGAGCACCCAGAAACATCTAGAAAAACACCGAAAGCCCCCCAGTTGTAGGCAGAGGGCTTGAGTAAGGATCTGGGCTCAGCTAGAGAGTCTACTCACCGTACTCCAATGTAAGCTCTGGGAGCACTGGATGCATGATCTTAGGCCAGTGGCTATCTCTTTAATTTTTCCTATCTTTAAAATGGAAATGATAAAATCTATCTCATAAAATCCTGTGAAAATTAACCAAAATAAGTTTATGTGTGTATGTGACTATGCCTGGGTAGTTATGACTCTTTCCCCTCATAGTTCCAAAATCTCGTAGGTCCTCCCAGGGAGGCTACAGGCTTTAGCGTTCTGACATCTGCTTCCAGGTGATGGAATAATGCTAGCAGAGAATAACATCGAAACTCTGTCAATAGAGATCTTACCTGTTCCTTTTTCAGAATGGGAAAAGTGTTGCTTTGAATGCTGACTGGCACAGGCAGCAGAAGAGGAAGTCCTCAGGCTCCAGAGGGACCTCAAGTTTGGGAACCAATCAATAAGTACACGTTTGTGTGCATGCAAACAGTTTGCTGTCCTTTGGTTCCCTATGGCATATTCAGTGTTAACTTCAACTTAACTAAACACTGTGGCACAGACAGAGTAGAATGTACTTTGAATCTCTTTTTTACCACTTAACCAGAGCAAAGGAAAACCTGACTGCTAAGCCGTCTCGCTAGCCAGATACTTCCAACATTTGCAAATACACATGCACACAGACACCAAAGGCCTGAACATCGCAAATCCACCTTCCTCCTCTGGTTCCTCAGTTTCCCAGCTTCTCCAGATTTGGTAACCTCAGAAGAAACCTGTTGCCCAGTCTGCGGGCCTGTGTGGACGCCCCACCTGGTGGCCAAATCAGGGAAAAGCTCTTCGAACCAAGGAGCCCAGCCGTTGAGCATAACTAACTCCAAGCTCCCTTGAACCCTTGGACCTTTTCAGTTGTGGTTCAACAGGAGGAAGCCAAAGAGGAGAATCTACTGTTTGGGGCACAAGGGGGTACAGTGTCAAAGCTATGGCCCATTTTCTGCCAAAATCCTGGCATCCAAACAGCTTTCTAAAAGGCAACCATTAGGATGACTGAGGCAAGACCAGGAGGCGGTTGGTAGCTGGATGTTCCCTGCCAACCCAGGAGTGTACGCTGCCAGCTCGAATCTCCAGTCCTTGGGGAGGAACCGGGGCTATCGTTCTCCCGCTTTCCTCTAATACAGATGGATTTTCCATTCCTGAGGTCAGGGGTAGCAGGAGGTGCATCTTTCTGCTGGCTATGTGTCTACTGGAGACTAACAGTGAACTTGTCTGAAAAGAAGAATGGCTGGAGACAAACCTCCAGACCAGGCCGCCCACATGCTCAGTGCCTGGGCCAGCCAAAGCAAGAAGAGGCGGCAGCCTAGGCTGAGGGAATATCAGCACGCAAATCACAGCTATGCTCCAAACCAAAATAATCCCCGAGCCCTCTCTCTGTTAAAGCTCAACCCTTCGGCGGAGGCTTAGAAATCCTCCACCTTCCTGTTCCTAAAAGAAACCCAAAGATGTGCATTTTGGCCAATTCAAGCCTCCAGTTAGTGAAACATCAGGTTCTTTTCTCTACAAGTACAGAGCCTTGGGAAAGGGAATGCGCGCGACACACACACACACACACACACACACACACACACACACACACGCCCGTCACTATGGGCACTGTGCAGTATTCCCATTCCCAGTTCCAGGATGTATTCTCTGAACTCCGCGACGATCCCACGAAAAGGTATCCACCCTCAGGAGAAAGAGCACTCAGGGGAGGGCCGCTTTGTCCAGTCCAACAATCGTATTAATTATGAAAAATCACATCATTCTTTAAAGCTTCCAAACCAACATCCCAGAAGGAGCTATAAATGCGCACCGGCGCGCGCGGACACCAAGCACCGAATCGGGCAACCACGCTTAGATCTTTTAAGCACTAGTGTCCAGGCACTCAGAAGCGGAAAAGACGCCCCGAGGGGAGGTTCGCCCCTCCTAGGCCCAAGAGCAGTTCTGGGTGTTTTAAAGCCCCATTGAATTCCTTGGCTCCAGCCCCCACCCAAACCCCAGTAACGCCGCCGAGGGGCGCCCGAGCGATCGAGCAGCCAGGTACTCACACCAGCGCGTGGTAGAGCAGCGCCCAGCCCCGCGGTCTCTCCAGGGCGTCGTAGATCAAAGTTTGGATGCGCCGGTACTTGGCGTTGTTCCTCTTGACTGGGCGGCTCAGGGGGGTCTTGGCCAGGAGTCCGATGCCCTGCGGGGTCCTCCGCTGCCCCTCATCCCGGCCACCACGCTCCAGCAGCAGAGTTCCGTCTTTGTCAGCTCCGGCCCCCAGCGCCAAGGTGACTTGCTCCGCGTCTCCAGGCGGCAGCCCCACTTTCCGCTCCTCATCGCCGGCCACCGCTGCGTCCCCTCCGGCTGGGTTAGCAGCACCGCCGCCTCCTCCGCCCCCGTCGCCGCCGCCGCCAGCCGCCCCCGCCGCCCTGCGCGCCTTGAGCCCCATCTGCCTCGCTCCCGCCGGCCGCTTCGCCTTCTCCGCTGCTGCTCCGGGAAGAAGGGGCACTCGGGGTGCGTGGACCAGACGGCGGCAGCGGCTGCAAGCCCGGGAACTCCAATGCCATGATCCGTGCGCCCCTCCCCACCCTCCCCCCCAAAAGCAGGCAAAGGCGTGCCTCCTGGGGACCAGGGGAGGCCGGGGTGGGGGCAGAGGTCACATCCCGCGCGGGTCAGCCGGGGGACCCCGAGGGGCGCGGACTGGGGGCCGCTAGGAGCCGGTGAGGGCGCTCGAGGTCGGCGCGGAGGCGCTAGGGCGCTTGGCGGCGGGAGCCTGGCACAGGCGCTCCGGGGCGGTGGTGGCGGCGGCACCCGGACCGGAGAGCCTGAGACAGCATCGCAGTTTATTTACAAGGCTGGTGCCAGCCGCCCTCCCGCCCGCCACACGCGCCGCCGCCGCCTCCTCCCTCCTCCGCGCTCCCACCGGCGCCCCTCCCAGCCCGCTCCAGCTCCAGCGCCAGCTCCAGCGCCAGCTCCAGCCCCAGCCCCGCAGCAGCAGCAGCAACAGCGAGCGCGGCGGGCCGAGCGCAGGCAGCCCGCCTCCCTGCCTACTTCCCTCCTTCCGTCCCTCGTCAGGGTGGGGCCCCATTGTCCCGCCCGGTGGTGGCGGGAGGCCCCGTCGGCGCCCCGCCCCTCCCTGCCATCCTACACTGTGGTGACCCGAGGGAACAGGGATTGCCAGGCCATAGTCCCTACTGGTGGATGCCAAGCGGTGCGCTCTGTGGTCTCAGCGCCCCGCTGCCAGCGCTTCTGTGGGCGTTGGGATTTCCTGGGGCAGGGCGCTGATGAGATAAAAGGATGAGCGTGGAAATTCCCGGGTAGGGAGGTGTGGGGTCTTCCTCCCAGCGTTTGCCACGGGTTGTACATTTATGATTACTCCCCAGGCGCCTCACTTGCCTCTTGTCTTTGGAGGTAAAAATCCAACTTTCTAGGTTGGCTAAGGCCAAGCGCACAGCACTGTGAACCTGTTCCACAGGAGTACTGCTCCTGGTTATGGTTGCAGGGTCATGGTGAACACTGCTGCCGCGCCTCCTCCCAGCCCCTATTGGTCCCTGTTCCCGGAGATGAGCAGAGCAGGAGAAACCGGCCATCAGGACAGGAATGACTTGCCTGATTCTGCTTAATCATGAAGTCCCCATGAGTGGGTGAGCTTGTCTGCCAAAAGGCATAGAACAGAGTTAGGAAAGTCGCTGTGCATAGAGAGCTTGAAGTCTAGTGACAGGTAGAAGACCACAGTGAAAAAGCCAACACCAAGAGAATGTTTTCCAATGCTGGGTAATGTCTATGCTGAAACAGATAGGAGTCTGTGCTAGTGACTAGAGGAGTTGTTTTAGACTAGATCCTGAAAGGCCTCATTGAGGAGGTGACATTTTGAGGTGAAGACCAAATGGCTTGCTGGTAACAACCATGGAAAGGTTCAGAGGAGCAGCCTTGGACAGCAAGCACACAGATGTGGCTTGAGCAGCTGGACGAAGAGAAGGAAACAGAAGCCATGGTGGCAAAAGCAGGGAGTTTGTGCCCTCTCCCATTACTCATGACGCCAGGTGCCCTTCCCCATCCCTGCTGCTCCAGAGGACGCAGGGTCTCCTTTAGTTCCACTGTCTCCACTCATCACTGCTAGAGGCGGCCGAGGGACAGACTGTGAAGCCAAAGATCTAGACCTAGTGACAAGTATCTGAAGGCTTCCCCCTGGCCTTTGGCAAGGAGCAGAGGAAAAGTAGAAGAGAGGGAGAGAGGAGAAGAAGCTCCAAGGGAGAGGGAGGTCAGGCTAGGAACACCTACATCCAAGGCTAGCAGAGGGAAGAACCTCAGAGATCTAAGGACCAAGGAGGAAAGAGGAGTTTCCAGAGGCAATCCTTAGATGAAGTCATTAAAACAGTGTGGTATTGGCATAGAAATAAATTGTTGGTTGCAACAGAATAGTTTGCTCAGAAACTGACTCTAGTAGGGGAACTTTATGGAACCTAGAAAACTCATGATAATATTCAATGGAGCAGGGTTATGTGTGGGTAAGTGGGCCGGGCAGTGGTTTGTGAGTACACATAAAGCAGTATATATCTGTGCTCCCTGCACAGTGGGCCTTCCTGTGTACTTACCAGTAGGCTAACGATCCCACAGAGTAACTGCTCAGTGCAAAACCCAGGAGGAAAAGCCCCAAGACAAGGAAATAGCCTGGGTTGAAAAACTTCTAGGTAGGAGTGGAACAGCCCAAAGCAAGCTCCTGCCCACTTGCTAATGCTCAGCAGCAACATGCAAGCATGTGTGGTCTAGATGGAGTAGGGTTTCCTGTGTGTCCCCAGGGGTTCCTGTGTTGAGGTTTAATTCCTACTGTGAGGTACTAAGCAGGTGTAAATAACAGACTGCTATGTTACTAGATAGGGTCTTTAGGAGGTGATTCAGATTAAAGTTGTTGGGATAGAGCCATAAGAAAAGGGAGAGAGAAAATACATATGCAAGCTCCCAGTCTCAGGAGTATGCCAGGAAGGCCATCGCCAGATATAGGTCTTTGTCTTAGGACAATAAGCCTGAGCCAAAACAAACCTTTTTTCTTTATAAGCTATTTAGACTTAGGTATTTCGTTCTAGTAATGAAAAAATTGATGAATATGCTTACACATACTTTCTGGCCAATTCCAACTATTTACTAAAGAACCTTCCCTTGCAGTATCTTTTCTAAATTTATCTTTCCCACTCAGTTCTTTTCCTGTTTTATTTACTCCTACTGATTGATACCTAAAATTATCATATGTATATTTGGCTTATTTGCTTAATGGCATTTTGTAAACAAGATCAAGGGCAAAGCATCCTATGTGAAAGCCAATGAGTATCCATGCCTTATAGCAGGCTCTCAATACATATTATTATGTAATTATGTCTCAAGACATAATTAAGTGTGCTACATTCCAGCCCGATAAAAGATACAGTGCAGGTTCAGTGTATGATTGAATATGAAAGTTTTGGTTTTTTTAATTCACTATTGTGAAAGTCTTCATTCTTACCAAATCTTAATACTCCTTGCAATTTAAGTAACATGACAACAAAAATATTTTGATGATGCTTAAAACACAAAGTCTTGGCCAATAAACATAAAGATGATCTTAGGACCATTAGACCAAAGACACAAGACTTTATTACTGTGCTGCTAACCTGAAGTTCTCATTTCTAAAATGACAGTTTGACCCCTCTGGTGCGTGAGGAGACTTCTATTGTGATGAGAGCCATACGCTGTCAAATATTTGTGTTTTAAGATAAAGTGCAGAGGCTGTTTTCATGTCTTTCAAAAGGGATGAGGTAAACTCAATATCAAATTCATAACTCTGATCCAATTAAATCCAGCGATAGGGGAACTGCCAGAGTCTGGGAAATTGATTGCAATGGTTTTGTAATCCAGTGGACAGTGTTGTTCAGATTTCTAATGGAGGGTTCAGAAATGTCATGAAAGGGAGGTTGCTACCAAAAATCACAGAGGGTCTGCAATCACCATACACCACAGAACAGAGTCCTGCATCCCATTGAAATGAATCTGCTCTCAGTCCAAAGTCCCTGAGAGTTTCAAGTGCCCTCCAGACATGGCACTGAGACAGGGTTATTCACAGAGCATCCAAAGAAGTAGACTGGAAGCACTGAGTCCCACTGACATGTAACGTTACAAACCCAGTCACTTTCCAATCCTCAAATCTGCCACCGGTTTGTCTTCTCAGCTTTTGATTTCTGCTTTAGCCTGTTTTCTATTATTATATCAAACATAACTGAGGCTGGTTATTCTATAAAGAAAAGAGTTTTATTTCATTCAGTCTTGAGGTTGAAAGTCAAGAGAGGGTGGCCCCCATTGATCCAGTCTCTGTAAAACCCCCCTGTCTATGACTGAGTCATATTATCTAGAGGTATCACAGAGGCAGGAGAACAGGATAAAGGGAATTTGTGGTGGGACCAGAGGCAAGAGAGCAATGAGGAGCTTGTCTTGCTGTTGTATGAGCCCCCTATGAATTACCTCAGTCCTTTCCAGGGCAGCTCCCCCAATGACCTACTGACATCCCACTAGCCCTGCCTCTTCATGGTTCCAGCATCTCATAACATTGTCACACAGAGAACCAAACTCCCAACATATGAACCCTACCATATGCAAACCATAGTACGTTGGCTCTTCCTTTACTTGGTCCTCATCTCAGTGTACAAATGAGATACAGTGTACAGATGAAGCCTTTTCTCCCATGCAGAGGAAGTGTTTCCTGGAAATGATTGAGTGAGACAAAAGGGCTTTATCTGAGCTTCTGTTTCTGCTTCTGTATAAATCCTGCTTTCCATGACTGCAGAATCTAGCACCGAGATGATGCTCTGGTGATGATTATTATGACTAATCAAGTGAGCAGGGCAGAGGCTGGGGTTCATAGCATCTGGATTGGTAGCCCTGCCTGTCCTCTCACCTTGTCCTCAAAGGATGTCATTATTCCAGACCACTTTAAAATTTATTTTCATTATTTGTTGTACAAGAAATGCAAAGTAGTGGGGGAATTATGCAATATAAATCATCAAAAGGACAATAATAGTCATCTTCTCACTCGGAAATACTCTCTGTGGTTGTGACTTCTGCCAGTAAAACCACATAATGCCTGACCTGAAAATGACAGAGTCCAGCTCTGAACCCCAAATATGACTCCTTCCCTGAGGACCAGCTGGCCATCTGGTAGCAGGTTGATTCCACTGGACATTCCAACAGAGGGGTGGCAGTGGAGAACAGACCCATGGTCTCTGCAGAATTACTGCTATATTGAGGGAATATATCCGTGCGGCTTCCGACACCCACATACTTAGAAACACATTAGAAAATCCCACATAAACCTGTTACTGATGAATAATCTTTTCCCAAAATGCTTGCATATTTGGGATGTTAATTTGCCTCCAGGAGAAGGCAGTGAGAAAGGTGTAACATTTCAGCCAGGTAGCATAACCACGCTTATTTG